AGTATTGTAGTATAACAGTATAGTATTGGAGTAGTAGAGTAGTAGAGTAGCATAGTAGTATACTAGTATAGCAGCATAGCAGTATAGTAGCATAGTAGTATAGTAGCACGGTCGTATAGTGGTAGTAGTAGCATAGTAGTATAATAGTAGTATAGCAGTAGTATAGTAGTATGCTAGTGTAGCAGTATGGTTTCATAGCAGTACAGCAGTATATCAGTAAACTAGTATAGTAGTATAATAGTAGAGCAGTAGAGTAGTCTAGTAGTAGTAGTAGTAGTAGTAGTAGTAGTAGTAGTAGTATTCAAGTATAGTAGTAAAGCAGTATAGCAGGATAGCAGTATAGTAGTGCAACATTACAGCAGCATTGCGGTATAGTAGTATGGTATAATAGTAGTATAATCAGGGAATAGTAGAGTAGTACAACAGCACAGTAGTATACTAGTATAGTAGAATAGCAGAACAGCTGCTGAGTGATATAGTAGTAATAGAAGTAATAGCAGTATATCAGTATAGCAGCACAGTAGTGTAGTAGTATAATAGTTGGGTAGCAGAGAAATAGAGCAGTATAGTAGTATACCAGTATAGCGGTATAGCAGTATGGTAATACAGTAGTAAAGTAGTATAGCAGCAAAACAGTAACAGCAGTATAGTAGTATGGTACTAGAGTAGTATAGTATAGTAGTATAGTACTACAGTCCTATACTGCAGTACTATACTATAGCAGTATATTTGTAGCATAACGGTATAATAATAGAGTGGTATGGTGGTACAGCAGTAGCAGTATAGTAGTATACTAGTATAGGAGTACAGCAGTATAGCAGTCAAGTATTGTAGTAGTATACTATAGTAGCATAGCAGAAGTACTACAGTAGTAGTAGTAGTATAGAAGTGGTAGTATAGAAGTATAGTATTACTAGTATAGTAGTATGGTAGTATAGTAGTATAGCAGTCTACTAGCTGTAGCGGTATTGTACTACAGTAGTATAGTAATATAGTAGAATAGTATACTGCTATGATAGTAAGTAGAAGTGGTAGTATAGTAGTATGGCATTATAGTACTAGTAGCAGCATGGGAGCATAGTGGTATAGTAGCATAGCAGTGCAGCAGTATAGAAGTATAGTAGTATTATAGAATTATAGTAGATTAGTAGAGTAGTAGAGTACCATAGTAGCATAGTAGCTGTAGTAGTACTCTAAAATAGTAGTAAAGTAGTACAGCAGAATAGTAGTAAAGCATTGCAGCGCTATAGCAGCATAGCAGTATAGGAGTATAAGAGCATAGCAGTATAGTAGTATAATGGTAGAGTAATTTAGTAGTATAGTACTATAGCAGTACAATAGTCTACTAAT